TATGTTCAGCTTAAAAATATATTTTTTATATCCTTTAACCATCAATACAAATGCTGATCTATTCATCCCTTTTCCTTTTACAAAGTAAATTATTCATTTTGAAATCAAAAGTCAAACATGAAATTAATAAAACCACATTTTCTACCAAGTATATATTGCTCTATACCAATCCGTCAAATCATTTATACCCAGTTCAACAACTTACATCCCTAGAAAACAATGTAGAGCAATAGCAACGTTTCTGTAAATTTGGTTTGATTTATGGTGCATAATATCTCGTTTTGTCTACATCTCAAAGGCCAAAAGAGGAATCAGAAGAAAAAATGTGTAACACTAAATCTTACCGAAAGTTGTTGTAGGCTACAGCTGAAATAATTTAAATTTAAGATTTGAGCCTTAATTTAAATATTTTTTCTCGTCAATTTATGAAAAAGCTTATGTATAATGTACACAGTAGTAACTGAAGGTAAGGAAGTGTGAAACTCTAATGGGCAAATAAATTAGAAGGATTCAATTATAAACTCTCCTTACTTTTGTCATTGGTTATTGCTTTGTTTGTCTTGTTTGTGACCTCAGTTTCCTCTGTAAAACAAAAAAGATTTATCATCATAACCAGATACAGAAGAATACAGATTCATGTTAATGTAAGGCTGCTTTGATCATATATTACTTCTAGTGTGATTAAACATTAGGAAACTGTAAAACCACTTACCAATAACTGTGATATTGATGATATGACCAACACTGCCTTCAGTTTTACATCCATATCTTCCAGAGTCATTTTTGAGGATCTTTTGAAAAATAAGGAATGAAACTCCTTCCAGAGGCTTGCCATCCTCCCATCCTATTCTAATGTGATTGCAGCTCTTGATGATGGGACAGTCACATTCGCCCTCTATTTTATACCAGGTGACTCTTGGTGGTGGATTGTGGCAGAACTTAACTGGACAGTCAATCCTGAGTTTCTGTCCAGAAACCACTAAATGATTTGTGTTTCTCCGCACTCGTAGTTCAATGCAGTCCTCATCTGCAGCAGGAGACAACCAGACATAAGAGATTACACACCTGAATGCGTCTTTTACTGAATTATTAACACTTTATAAGCTGAATATTAACAATTAGAGCAAAATCTTAGGACACACCCTCCAACTGAATGCTGTATAATTCACATTCAAATAATCTAACAGAATGTTGAGATATAAAGTTGGACGGGTGAAGATTTTCCTCCATACATAGAATTAAAGCTCAGTTGTCAGAACTGTTTGCAAAGATGTACAAAGAAAGGAACAGTAAGTAATATTTATTTTAAAATTTAGGTTTAGAAAGAGCTTTGAAACTATTTTTGCTGAGCGAAGGTTGGCGGTGCAGGAACAAAGGCAAAGCAGCAACTATTAACACAGAATATTTCTTTGTGAAGATGATTATGGAGAGAAAATGTAAAGTACGGAAGCCCAGTAGCTTTAACCTTGAACAATTAGCTAAAGGACATATCAGAATCAACAATGATGAACAGGCAGCCTTAATGCTGCAGGACTTGCTTGGTCTTGATGATTATTTGATATTAAAAGATACTTCAGTGAAAAAATACACCTGAAAAATAACTGTGATGATATACTGTAACCAGCACATGTATGAAATTATGGTTAGCTATTAAACTTCTGCTTTGGTTGAAAGGAGTTTTCCCTCATTATGGAAAACTAACATTGTGAGGCTCAAATAGATTTATAATCTAACAATGATTGCATCATTTGTGTGTGTGTGTGTGTGTGTGTGTGTGTGTGTGTGTGTGTGTGTGTGTGTGTGTGTGTGTGTGTGTGTGTGTGTGTGTGTGTGTGTGTGTGTGTGTGTGTGTGTGTGTGTGTGTGTGTGCGTGCAATCAAATGTTTTGTCTTTTCTTGGGTGTTTTTTCTTTTTTTGCTTATACTGTATAGAATCAAACTGTATATAAAAAAAGACACAGCAAAATAAATATATACACAAATAGCTAACTGGGTTACAGTTTGCAACAATAGGGACAGAGTAGAAATGCTTTTAAGCTTTTCATAACTGCAATGCAAGTTACATTTTTTTATAATAACAATAAAAGAATTGATAATAATAAAAAATTACACAATAATATTATTTCTTAATAAGAATAACATTCTTTGCAGGTTTAGTCATCAGTGTTATACCTACACAAAGGACTAATTTCAAACAAAAGACCAGATAACAGTCACTTTTTAAACAACACAGTATCGTATACAGTATTACCATATCAGCTCCATTGCTCACTGACCATTTAAAATCTAACTCTTATAGAATCAATAAAACTGTGAAAATAAAAAATTTATATCTAATTTGTTTTCTAATTATGAGATTATTCAGTGTCATGGTGAGCCAGTCAAAGACTCACATTGCAACACGAGGAAGATACTTTGTTCTACCAAAGTTTAACACTGTGTACCCCTAAAGCTGATCTTAAAAATGTGTTGCAACTTTAAAAACCCCCCAAACCCTCTTCATTTCCTTACTCTATGCCCCCCTAATGTGGTCAACACATCACCAAATATGGCCACATAGGAAATAGAGCAACAAGAGCTTTATGTGTAATATTTCCAAATTCAAATTTTAGAAATATGAAATAAAAATGGAATAATCAGTTGACTTCAACAACATGGAATCAAAGACCTGCAGCTCATTTTCGTGTTTTGTTGTTTAAATTTAGGTTTCATGTCTGCCAAGTTTGGTCTCTGCATCAACTCCGGAAATGGAAAAAAGTTCTGCTCGATTTAGAAAAGATTTAGAAAGTTTTAAACCCTTTGAGATGACCTATATCGGTGCCAAACAAACTGCCTTTAGCCTTAACTATATATCCTAGGTGTTCAAACAACAACAAAAAAGGAGTTTTCACTAAATCGTGAAAACTGACATGTCCAATCTAATGCTGATTAGTTTAGTATTTATGGTCACTTACTGTCAGCCTCCAGAGTAACGAGGAGAACAGATGAGATCAGGACAATCAAAAGGACTTTAGAGCTGTTAGAGATCATGATGAGTTCCTGATGAACCGTCCACCTCTGTATAGCTTCTTTATGTTCTGGGTTCTACAGCACAACATATGTGGTAGGTTTACTTCCTGTTTGCTTTCATGGGGTCTTTGGTAAATGTGTTCTACGTACAGTAGCTCATACTGTGAATGGGTTAGACTAGACTAAAGCTCTGACTTCCATGATTTAAAGAACAGCATGAAAACTCAACCTTCACAGATTCACAGACAGATGTTTTCACAGGCACAGGAAAAGAACAGCTATACATTCTGTCTTTACTTTGTATAACTTTTAGTTGTTACATATTTATTACTACCTCTTACAGTTGATTAGGTAACAGTGGGGTATTTCATCCTCCCTTTAGTTGACCTGTTGGCATATTTGCATATCACGTAACATAAGAACATTTTGCAAAAGACTATTGATTGGAAAGAATAAGTTTAAAGTTTGCAGGCTTCCCTGCAGGAGGGACTGGTGCTGTACATATCAGCAGGCTGAATATTAGCAAGCACTATGATTGTATTAAAAATATCTGGATTAATAATAAACTAATTTAAAATCCAACTGTTGGAACAGCTCACTGAAACACGTTTGACCTGGCTCAAATTATTTGTCAAGTGAAGGTCTACAACCCATCAGCAGGACTGGTATCTGCTCCTTTGTGCCAGAGCCCTACAAAATGACCTCCACTAGGCCACTGGTAAGAATGTCTCTGACCAAACAATCAGAAACAGACTTCATAAGGGTGGCCTGAGGGCCCGACGTTCTCTAGTGGGCCCTGTGCTCACTGCTCGGCACCGTGGCAGCTGTTTTTAAACCACCCCCGAAAAGTTCCTCTTGTGGAATTGTGATGGACAGTAAGGACAGTCTTTAATAAAAAAAAAGATAAAATTGTAACATGTACAAAAATAGATCCAAAAATCAGGTCAAATGAACCAAAACTACTCAAAATATTTATAACAGAACAAGACTAACTCAAACAAACTGATACGATAAAGGGGAATTTAAATGCTGACTGACCAGACTACAAAAGAAACACATGGGGCCAAATATACAAAAACTGAATTAAACATAATAAAGTAATACCCCATTACCCCCACATTGCATTAATATGGTACGGTCCAAATGAACTCCCTTTGCCACTTACTGGTTCCTCAGCCAAGGGACTCTGGAGCAACTGCAAAACTCAAACAGAATATAAATTGAACAGAATCATACAACAACGGGGTAAACTAAAGATTGTGTACTAATTTTGGAACACAGTGTAATGGTGAATAAATTATAAATAAATATGACCTATGACAATTCATGAAATATGAATAAAATAATCCAGTAAAAGAAACAAACTTTTCTGTATTCTTTGGCCCCTTTTAGCTTTTTTGGTACATGCTCACAACAAAATTAGCAAATATTCTTTATCTCAGGCAACTGATGGAGAAAAACAAAAGATATTCTTTAGACCACTCAGAAAGGGTTATAAAATAAAAGATGTGATCTTGTTAAGCTATTCATTATACTGTTCTCTTCTAGCTTACATGGGTTTAGCTGGTTAACTAGTACCAAGCTGTGTTTTTTTGTATTTTGCAGACACTTGCACTGTTCTTTATATCTATAAATGTTGGGATAACCTACTTTTTCACCTCTGACTCCCCCTGTATCGAGTCAGTGCGTTGTTCTAATCCAACTTTTGCACCAAATACAGAAGACAGGTTATATGTAATAAAGGAAGGGCTCAAGAAAATGAGAGAACAGTTAACTTTCTTTTGGTTAAAAATCATATATATATATATATATATATATATATATATATATATATATATATATATATATATATATATATATATATATATATATATATATATATATATATATATATATACATAATATTATCATTATTGTGGCAAAACCCAATTTTTTATGTTGACGGGTTCTTTTTAAAGTTATGAAGTGAACTAACTTTAGGTTGAGGTTAGTATTAGAAAAAAGCAGGTAAGGGTTTGGGTTAGGGTAGATGTCAGGGTTAAGCATAAATGCAGTAACTAAATGACGGTCAATGTAAATAACTGCTATGGGTAGAAATACATGCTTGGTGGGGTTGGTGTATCTAATTGCAAAAGATCTAGACACAGGAGAGAAAATAATTTGAGAAAACAATTGCACTCCTTTTCTTTGTTCAAATAAGATTTTTAGGTCTCGCTACGTATATCTCTCTTTTTTGTAGTAATAAATGACATTAATGTGTGGAGCTAATAAAGTTTCATCTAATTTCATTAACCAGTTAGTAACTAACGAGTTCAGACTCATTGATCACAAAAGGTAAACTTAAAAAAATCTCTCTGCTTTTAAACCTGACATTTAGCTGCTTAATCTTTCTACACTATCCGCCTCTGTGGCCACAGAGCCTCTCATTGTGGCGGTCCGTGGTTGAAGGCAGCATAGACATCAGAACTGGTTTCCTCCTTAAGTGCTACATTCCTGTTTCTCTCCTGTATCGTTGGACCATGAAGTTGCTCATTATCTCCAAATGTTGGCGGCTCTATAGGTTGTCCTGGTAGTTTTCTCTCACTGGCTGTTAAAAGATGGCGGCAGGTTGGAGTCTCCTCTTGGTGAATACCTGACCCTTGTGGCAATTTGAATGTCTTGCTCAGCTAGAGGGATTTTATTGTACTGCAGGAAGTAAAAAAGAAAAATGTTTAGACAAGCTAAAGTGTTAAAAGCATAAATACTGGTTCAGTACATTATTGTCCTGAAAGTTCAAGAATATTTACCTTATTTTCTGTTTGCTTCTCTTTCCTTGATTTCCCTGCAAATTGAGCAGTTTGTTAGATAGCTATGGTGCATGATTTTCAACAAAGGTTAAAAGAAGTTGCTGAAAAATCTCACCTTTGCATCCCTGCATCCATATCACAGATATGATAATCACTATGATGAGAAAGGAACCAATCCCAGCAGCAGAGCACCCATACATCCAAAAAATACTGTTTGGTTCAGTTTTGGGATGTTCATCTAAGGGATAAAATAGAACATAAAACTATTTTATTATTACTATTTAGCTTCAGAACAGATTTTCTGCATCAGTTTACCACAAATAACAATGCTGATGACTTCTCTCTTTCTCCGTTTTTGATGATACCCATCAGGCAAATGATTCAAAGCCTTTTTAACAAAGAACAATTTATAGTAATTTTCTATCAAAGGATTCATAGTCTTCTGGGAGGACCTGAAGATACGTGAATACAGTGTTCCAGCAACCATTTCACTGAAAGTAAATTTGGTAGGGCTGTAACTAACAATCATTAAAAGAAAAAAGTATAGATATTTTCATTGTTTACAATCTTGTTATAGTCACTGCTGTAAGTGGGTTGCTCTGTCAGCCAAAGGTATGTTTTAGAGTCTCCATACTTTATAATTGTGTCATCCATAAAATGTGGTTTGATTTATGGGGCATATTTTTGTATTTGACTAAATGGTCAATGTTGGAAACAGAACAAAAAAATATGTAATACCAAATTTTAGGGAACAATATCACAATTTAATTATAAACTGTCCTGACTTGTTTCAGTAGTTATTGTTATATGTGTCTTGATTGTGGAATTATTATTACAATCAGATAAAGAAGCACATATGCATAATAATATAAGCCTGCTTTGATCAAATATTCCTTCTACTGTGATTAGACATTAGACATTGGTTTGTTCATCAGTGGGATAAAATAGAACATAATAAAAATAAATTAATTAATTTATATATTAAGCTTAAAAAATATTTTTTGTATCCTTTAACCATCAATATAAATGCTGATCTATTCATCCTTTTTTTCTTTTACAAAATGAATTATTCATTTTGAAATCAAAAGTCAAACATGAAATTAATAAAACCACATTTTGTACCAAATATATTGCTTTATACCAATCCGGCAAATGATTTATACCCACTTCAAAAACTTACAACCCTGGAAAGCAATGTAGAGCAATAGCAATAATGTTTCTGTAAATTTGGTTTTATTTATGGTGCATAATATCTCATATTATCTACGTCTCAAAGGCCAAAAGGGAATCAGAAGAAAAAATGTGTAAAACTAAATCTTTACAGAAAATGTTGTACAGCTGAAATAATTTAAATTTAAGATTTGAGCCTTAGTTTAAATACTTTTCTCGTCAATTTATGAAAAAGCTTATGTATAATGTACACAGTAGTAACTGAAGGTAAGGACATGTAAAACTCTAATGGGCAGGTAAATTAGAAGGATTGAATTATAAACTCGATCTCCTTACTTTTGTCGTTGTTTATTGTTTTGTTTGTCTCGTTTGTGACCTCAGTTTCGTCTGTAAAAAAAGACCAGATTTATCATCATAACTAGAAGCATAGATGCACGTTAATGTAAGGCTGCTTTGATCAAATATTACTTCTAGTGTGATTACAGGTGCTGGTCATAAAATTAGAATATCATGAAAAAGTAGATTGATTTCAGTAATTCCATTTAAAAAGTGAAACTTGTATATTATATTCATACATTACATACAAACTCATATATTTCAGATGTTTATTTTGTTTAATTTTGATGATTACAAATGACAACAAATGAAAATCTCAAATTCATCATATCAGAAAATTAGAATATTACTGAAGACCAATAAAAACAAAGGATTTATAGAAATGTTGGCCAACTGAAAAGTATGAACATGAAAAGTATGAGCATGTACAGCACTCAGTAGTTAGTTGGGCCTCCTTTGGCCTGTATTACTGCAGCAATGCGGCGTGGCATGGAGTCGATCAGTCTGTGGCACTGCTCAGGTGTTATGATAGCCCAGGTTGCTCTAATAGTGGCTTTTAGCTCTTCTGAATTGTTGGGTCTGGTGTATTGCATCTTCTTCTTCACAATACCCCATAGATTTTCTATGGGGTTAAGGTCAGGAGAGTTTGCTGGCCAATTAAGAACAGGGATACCATGGTCCTTCAACCAGGTACTGGTAGCTTTGGCACTGTGTGCAGGTGCCAAGTCCTGTTGGAAAATGAAATCTGCATCTCCAAAAAGTTGGTCAGCTGCAGGAAGCATGAAGTGCTCTAAAACTTCCTGGTATGTGGCTGCGTTGACCCTGGACCTCAGAAAACACAATGGACCAACACCAGCAGATGACATGGCACCCCAAACCATCACTGACTGTGGAAACTTTACACTGGACTTCAAGCAACGTGGATGAAGTGCCTCTCTTCTTTTCCTCCAGACTCTGGGACCTTGATTTCCAAAGGAAATGCAAAATTTACTTTCATCAGAGAACATGACTTTGGACCACTCACCAGCAGTCCAGTCCTGTTTCTCTTTAGCCCAGGCAAGACGCTTCTGACGCTGTCTGTGGTTCAAGAGTGGCTTGACACAAGGAATGCGACAGCAGAAACCCATGTCTTTCATACGTCTGTGTGTGGTGGTTCTTGAAGCACTCACTCCAGCTGCAGTCCACTCTTTGTGAATCTCCCCCACATTTTTGAATGGGTTTTGTTTCACAATCCTCTCCAGGGTGCGGTTATCTCTCTTGCTTGTACACTTTTTTCGACCACATCTTTTCCTTCCCTTCGCCTCTCTATTAATGTGCTTGGACACTGAGCTCTGTGAACAGCCAGCCTCTTTAGCGATGACCTTTTGTGTCTTGCCCTCCTTGTGCAAGGTGTCGATGGTCGTCTTTTGGACAACTGTCAAGTCAGCAGTCTTCCCCATGATTGTGTAGCCTATAGAACTAGACTGAAAGACCATTTAAAGGCTTTTGCAGGTGGTTTGAGTTAATTAGCTGATTAGAGTGTGGCACCAGGGGCCATCAATTTTGAACCTTTTCACAATATTCTAATTTTCTGATATGATGAATTTGAGATTTTCATTTGTTGTCATTTGTAATCATCAAAATTAAACAAAATAAACATCTGAAATATATGAGTTTGTATGTAATGTATGTATATAATATACAAGTTTCACTTTTTAAATGGAATTACTGAAATCAATCTACTTTTTCATGATATTCTAATTTTATGACCAGCACCTGTAGACATTAGAAAACTGTAAAACCACTCACCACTAACTGTGATATTGATGGTGTGACTAACAGCACCTTCACTTTCACATCCATATTGTCCAGAGTCATTTTTGAGGATCTTTTGAAAAATAAGGAATGAAACTCCTTCCAGAGGCTTGCCATCCTCCCATCCTATTCTAATGCGATTGCTGCTGTCGATGATGAGACGGTCACGTTCGCCCTGTATTTTATACCAGGTGACTCTTGGTGGTGGATTGTTGCAGAATTTAACTGGACAGTCAATCCTGAGTTTCTGTCCAGAAACCACTTCATGATTTGTGTTTCTCAGCACTTGTAGTACAGTGCAGTCCTCATCTGCAGCAGGAGACAACCAGACATAAGAGATTACACACCTGAATGTGCCTTTTGCTGAATTATTAACACTTTATAAACTGAATATTAACAATTAGAGCAAAATCTAAGGACACACCCTGCAACTGAACGCTGTATAATTCACATTCAAATAATCTAACAGAATGTTTGAGATATAAAGTCGGATGGGCGAAGAGTTTCTTCCACACATTGAATTAAAGCTCAGTTGGCAGAACTGTTTGCATAGATGTAGAAAGAATCTACAATAAGGAATATTTATTTTAGAATTTAGGTTTAGAAAGAGGTTTGAGATTGTTTATGCTGAGCGGAGGTTGGTGTTGCAGGAAGAAACGCAAAGCAGCAACTATTAACACAGAATATTTCTTTGTGAAGATGATTATGGAGAGAAAATGAAAAGTACGGAAGCCCAGTAGCTTTAACCTTGAACAATTAGCTAAAGGACACATCAGAATCAACAAGGATGAACAGGCAGCCTTAATGCTGCAGGACTTTCTTGGCCTTGATGATTATTTGATATTAAAAGATACTTCAGTGAAAAAATACACCTGAAAAATAACTGTGATGATATACTGTAACCAGCGCATGTATTAAATTATGGTTAGCTATTAAACTTCTGCTTTGGTTGAAAAGAGTTTTCCCTCATTATGGAAAACTAACATTGTGAAGCTCAAATAGTTTTATAATCTAACAATTATTGCATCATTTGTGTGTGTGTGTTTGTGTGCATATGTAATGGAATGTGTTGTCTTTTCTTGGGTGTTTTTTCTTTTTTTGCTTATACTGTATAGAATCAAACTGTATAAAAAAACAGGAACAGCAAACTAAATATTTACACACTTAGCTAACTGGGTTATTGTTTGCAACATTGAATGTTACTAATTTGGCTATTTGGGACAGAGAAGAATTTCTTTTAAGCTTTTCATGTCTGCAATGCAAGTTACATTTTTTTTAGAATAACAATAAAATAATTGATAATAATAAAAAATTACATAATAATATCATTTCGTGATAAGAATAACATTCTTTGCAGATTTAGTCATCAGTGTTATACCTACACAAAGGACTAATTTCAAACAAAAGACCTGCTAACACACACCTTTTAAACAGCGCAATATCTTATACAATATTACTACATCAGCTCCATTACTCACTGACCATTTAGAATCAGTACAACTGTGAATAAAAAATGTACATCTAATTTTTCTAATTATGACATTAACTCTCATGGTGAGCCAGTCAAAGACTAACATTGCAACACGAGGAAGATACTTT